TTTTTTTATCTGTCGCACTGCAATATAAAGCCTAAAAAACAATCACCTTTCTAATTAAACATAGATCCAAAGGGGAGATAATTATTGTTTTGGTTAGAGTATTATCGCAACAATTAGTGCCATATTTGTGTCTGTTAACCTTTTGAGGTATGCTAAAGATTTTTCTTTCACCATTGATTTTGTACGTACGTATTAGTCAAACGGGAAAATAGTTTGCAGTTAGATTCAGGTTTCCAGCTCCAACAGTTTCAAATGAATTCTTTTAAATAACAAACTGCCTGAAAGTTGCGTTTTAATAGAAATATAATTATTCATGCATAAGATAGTAATTATTCCTGTAATTGTTCTAATTATAATAATTTGTGAATGCCATAATTTCTAACTTTTAGACGCCCATTTACAGTAGTTTTCTTATATATCGGATTGGAGAAGTTACAAGGTTTTTTTCTCAAACATAGGACGCCGCAGAAGTCGATTTTTGTGAATATTTTGACAAAAAAAAACATTAATTATTGTTTGGAGGGATGCGCAGTTTTTCAATTAAAAAATCTGTGTACCAGTTTTTGGGAAAACAAGGAGTACTAGAAAAAAATATCTACCTACCCATGATTTCAGTTGACTGAAATTAATTTCGATTTATTAATAGGCTCATTCTGTAATATTTAATTTATTCCGCCCCTCTAAATATATGGTGAAAAAATTAGGTCGGTAGTTTCAATAAAAAATTTATAATTTGTAAAATATATATTTTAAACGGTCGATGCCGTTCGCAGAGCATCTGTGACATCACACCACCCGACTGGTTCAATGCGCTATTTAGACCAGGAAAAAGAGCTGGGAAATTACCATTTCGCGACTTTTTATTTCGGCAAGCTGAATTTATCATTACAGATGCTAAATATTATGTACAATAATATATTAGTTTCTACAGTCATTAAAATAGGGGGACGATTATTTACAGGCTGGTTAATTGTATAATTTTTACGTAAATTCACGGTTTTTGCTTATAACTTTTTTCCGCTTATTTCCACGAGAAAACAGTAAACCTACAAAACTAACCCTCGAGCGTAAAAAAATATTAATTAGATCAAAAGTTATAAACAGAAGAAGTTTATTTATGACTTTTGAATTAAACATTTATAAACTGCGTTATTATTACCAGAACGTTTTGGCATCGCATCCCCTCATTCCTTATCACTGTCTAATAACCCACACGAAATCTGGAATCGGTAAGTTGAATAGTTTACAACTTATGGCCTTATAAACAAATTAACTAATTTATTAGTCTGGTCGATCCCGAGCATCTTCCACAATCGCTCTGATTTTTTTTCGTGGTAGATTTCATAATAATACATTGAAATCTATAATTTTTTTTTTAAATTTCAAATTTGCAACCTGGAAAGTTTTTTTTATTTTTTAGCCTTAGTTACAAAATGAAATATACGACGCACGCGCGTGATATAGTTATATATTATTACATATTTGGAAAGCTTATGAAAAGAGCTTTAAGTTAAAAAAATCGCCAAAATTCGTTGAAAAACAACTTCTACCATAGCTAGAAATATCATGTGATGTATCTATGTGATACCCAGCCAAGTATGCCGGCTAGCCGCTAACGAGTGGTATGACGTCACACCGTGGCTTTCATTAATTATTTTTAGGGAGAAATTATTGAATAAAATCTGATTTGTTGCAAGTACTATGATGTACACTAAAAAAATATGCTAAATGTGCCCATTATTTTATGGTTGATGAAATGCTTTGCAAAAAAAAATGAAATGATTAATGTCAGTTTAAAAAATGTATGCTACTGAATTTAGTTTTCACCTATCCATTTTTCCGTTCACCAAAGTTTTTAGTTATCTTTTTAGAAAGGTCTTGTTTTCTGTTTATATTTTTACGAAAATAAAAATGCTAGTTTTTGGGATCCGTTAAACTGGTTTCTAAACATCGTCGGCTTGAATTTTGCGGTACGCCAAGATAGTTTTATTTATCGCCAAATTATTCAAATTATCCTTGAAGGTGAATCAAAGCGTTACAACACTCGACAAACATTTTGTTTGTTCTGCCGCCACTCTTGTGTTCTCATAGAGTAATAAAATGACATACTTTCCTTGAAAATTAAGTAATACGTTCGCCTTATTTGCAGCGAAATGTCCACATCGGTCAAACTAAAAAAGGCATTCCAATTTGAACGAAAAAGTTGATATTAAATTAAAACTTAACGCAATGTGCACCGTTCACAATTTTTTCAACGTGTTCCAAATTAATATCGTAATAAAATTATAAATTGATTAGGTTTTTCTGTTAATTATATTGGAATTTAATTTTATAAGACAATTTTTTGAAGTAAATATACAACGAAATATATGTGAAAATATAATGAATAAATTAATATTAGTCAAACATGACAATATTATTAACTATGCATTTAGATTTGATAAAATTGAAGTTTAATAAGTAAATATACTTATATACAGGGTGTAGTGAATAAAAATTAAAATAGTTGCGCAAGTTGTTTTTGTCAGGGCGTATTGCGCAAGCATTTGAGATCTGTCGTATTTTGTTGAAATAATTCATTAGGGTGCAAGAAGCCGATGCTCATTACGTATGTGTGCGGACTGTTTCTAGATTTATTTATATGATGAATTGCAATATCTTCTTAGAGAAGCAGTTTTAAGAAAAACTCGTAGGGGGGTATTCGATTGGTGACATTGACCTTAACACAAATGTCAACCGTAGATGTAATTTGAAGGTCAACTTGGATTTTTAGATATGATAGATATATTTCTGACACCGGAAATGCATAGAACGGAAAATTTTACGTTCAGATATGTCTTTATGTTAAGGGTCAAACTGACCCTAAAGGGTTATTTTAGGGTCTAGTAAGGGTCTGAATAAGATTTCGCGATATTTTTCGGGGACAGTACAAAGAACAACGAATTCTGGTTGAAAGTTTTATAGTTTGATGGGATCATACGACGATGACCTTGATCATGACCTAGAGCTCGACCTTGAAGGTTCTTTGAAGGTCAAATCAAGTTACAAAATAGGAGAACACTGTTTGCAGCCGTATTAAGTTAAACTAAGATCGCCATAATCCGGTCAGTCAAGGCAAGGTCACCATGACCCGGCCAGTCGGATCGAAGCGATCTTGTCTTGACTGGCTGGGCAAGAACGATCTTGCCTTAACTTAATACGGCTTGGCGTTTGTTTTAAACTATAAAAATACTGCTTTGCAGGCGACAAACTTGATTTGTACCATTTTTATATTACCCTCGGGCAGTTTCATATACCGGGGGATTCAGTTTGATATTCACTGCCTCGTATCTCTTTTATTTGTTGGCCAAATGAACATATTAAAGACATTACACATTGTATACAAATTATTATTTTTTTTTTGCCTCTAGCAGAAAACTTTTTTAGGGACGCCTATGAAACTCATTAAATTTTATTGCTAGGCGTTTTTATACATGTTCAGCTGACTTCGGAAAGACTATAAGAAGGAATTAAAAAAAAAACTCGAATAGAATACATACATTATATCTTTCCTTTGTCCAGGAGAGGGCCTTTTATTTATTTTAAAGATTTGTTTAATTAATTTAATTTAACAAATCAAAACATATTCAGGCAATGATTTCATGGCACTGTTGATGAGTAGAATCAGTAAGTAAACCAAAACATTGTGTAAACTAAAAGCAAATGAATGACACGTACATATTATTATTGTAATTAGAAAAAGAGGGGAACTGAAAAAATAAAAAACCGTAAGTTTATTCTATATCTTCGAAATGCAACTGTCGATTATTTTTTTATTTATTGATTTAAATTCGCAAGAAAATTTGCTAAATGCTGTGTTTTCCATTTTTTTCCTAGGCAGAAAACTAAAACTGATAATGGTGGTAGAATTTTGTGTGAATGACTCTGTAGGTTACCCATAATTTATTCCCTTTTTACTGCTTCGAAAAACAAACGAGGCATGCGAAGGCAGCTAGAAAGACGGTTTGACGACACGCAAAAATTAAAAGAGCGCCCACATCGTTGCCCATGATCGAAACTGGACCAGCGTATAATTAATACACGTAACGGGTGTTGCTACCAAGGAATTCTCGACGATGCGCGGCTAGTTTTTAAGTCCTCCTGCATGAGCGCTTCATTTGCCTGGCCCGTCCGACAGAGGCTCCAGATCGGTAGAGATAAGTCGCCTGATAAGCCGGTCATCTCACGATTTCGAAATTCGTTTTATTTTTCGCCTCGACCTTTGCTTTTTTGGTCAATCCGCGCCGTGATTATTCCACTGATTAAATACTTGTTTGCGTCCCGCATTATTAAGCTATACACCTTCGCTGTCCCGGAGAAAATGTTTTCAGCTAAGTATTTTCCATTTTTAAGCGGCGAGGCATGCGGCTTAGAATTTGCCCCATTAGCGAACGCGCCGGCCGCAGCGCAGGGACTCAATATTTACTTTGCCTCTTTTAATGCGTCTGAATAACTTTAGATTCACCTTCAAGATATACACACATGGCATTAAGTACTCATAATGCACATACATACAGAGTGTTTCCTAAGTGGAAGCGATCCTAACGCGCCTATGTAATACGAGTACATCGAAACGACCAGTTTCCGAGTAACTCAGAGGAAGTATAATCTTTCCGAAGTCAGTTAAACATGTAATAAAATGCCTGGTAATAAAATTTAATGATTTTTATAGGCGTCTCTAAAAAAGTTTTCTGCTAAAGGTAAAAATTATAATACAGTGTAACCTCCATTATCCAAACAGGCCTTTATCCGAATATCCACTTAACCGAACGGAAAAAAACGCAAGACATTATCCGAACGAGCCTCGTTTATCCGAACTGGGTGGCCGCGGAACTCGGATGATATGCGAAATTTGCAGCCGCGCTTGCGTGTGCGACTGGGTTTTCGTCTCGCCCGGCCCAATCGCGGTGGGACAGATGTGATAGATTTAATTACTGACAATGACATCTTGCACAATATAGAGAATGTGGAAATAGCCAAAGAAGAAAATGAGACCGAAGGAGCTGCCGACAACAAAACAACTCATGGAGAAGCCGTGCAATGTTTTGACAAATGTATAACGTGGGCCAATGATAATGGCGAAATGTCTCACAACATATTTCTTTTAAAGGAGATGCAGATTAGAGCCAGAAAATTAGAAAGTAAATCCCTTTCACAAAGAAAAATAACGGATTTTTTAAAATAAAATATGTTTAAATATGTAGGTTATTAACTTTTTTTTGTACATATATTTATGTATACATACTTTAATATGTAGTTTAATAAGTGTTTATGTCTTTATATTTTTTTTTGTTTTTTGTTTATCTTTTTCCATATTATAATTACAAACTTGAAGTATTAAAAAAGGTTTTTAGAAAAATAACTGTTTTAATTTTAAATTTGATTATCTGAACAAATTGATTAACTGAACAAGACCTTACAATAATTAGTTCGGATAATGGAGGTTGCACTGTATATATAATGTGTAGAAAATTTCTATTATACGTTCATTTGACTAACAATATATTTTAATTATTTATGTCCTCAAACAATTTTATTATATTGATGGTAAATTTCGTTTTAATCCGTTTCAAAAGGTCTCCAAAATGCCATGTTGCAATAATATTAGTAAACAAAATATCCTTAATATTTCTCCATTTCCCAATAGTAATATGAATGATTAATAGAAGGTGCCTATAATAAATTAAAATTACCTGAGTCACACTAAATTCCGCATTGTTGCACTGCACTGCTGGGCCATTTGTTGACAACCGAATTTATGGCCAGGTGGCCCAGTGCGACTGTGTTTGTGCCGCGTTAGCCCGCGCTCATTCTTCAACTGGGCGACCAGATTTGTATATGGGTATGGCTAAATAAATATGGGAACAAGTTTTTCAAATATTTCAGTGCCAAGTTGCTGCGTCAGCGACCGAACCTGGTCTAGTGATGTAACGAATATCCGCATTCGCATTCGCGAATATTCGTTTGATTTATGATATTCGCATTCGCATTCGCAAATATCTTTGAATATTTTGCGAATATGAACGTGAAATAAAAATACAGAATGTGAAAACAATATTAAGTTCGTTCAGCATCGCAAATCGTAAAATAAGTCCATATTTCACTAGAAGTTGATTTACTCATGTTAAGAAATAACTAACAACAGTCTAACCTCACAATTCACAAACTCATCTGAGCCGGTAGCGAAAACAAAACAAAATTCCAATCATACAAAAATACCGTTCTACCAACTTAGCAACGCTAATTTCTTTAGCCTCTAGCGCCGCTGTCACTGAAAATATTATGTGCGTCGCACGCGGCATATTTTGAATCATAGATAAACGGCGCTAGATTTAAAAACTGAATATTCGTATTCGCATTCGCATTCGCGAATGTCAACACAGATGTTCGCAATTGCATTCGCATTCGCAAATGCTTAAAAACTGGCATTCGTTACATCACTACCTGGTACATACTGCCAACCTCTTGGTTCTTCAATTGCGATCGGAAAGACTATACCTCATTTATGGTACCAACTTCATTCAATATTTTCACCTAGGACTGTTATCGTTTTCTTCTATCGCCAAGAAATAAATAGATAAAATGTTTCTACTTTTAAATTTTTTTTGCTCATATTTTTGATTTTATTTAATGTATATTTGGCATATTTGGTAGAAAGTTTAGTATTTTAGGGAACATTAGACTAAAATAAAAAATAGTTTCTTGCTATTACCAGAGGCGTACGGGAGGGAGAGTGGAGTTCTTCCCCCTCCTAAATTCTACGCTAATGATGGAATCATCATTTTAATAGATTGTTCCGTATTTGAGATTTTAAAATACATATTTGTATGTATGCATATCATTATTTCTAATATTTTTTAAAGAAGAAAGGCTTGTATGAATCTATATAGGGGTAGAAATTTACATTTTTTTTAGAGAATCCTATTAGAAAATTCAACCTAATGATTTCTTTGAACTATTGTTAAAATCATTATACCTACTTATTTGAAAATAAAAATTCTTTTAGTTGGTTTCTTTGAAACCAACAGTTTTAGAGTTATGAACTCTAAATAAATAAAAAATACCTTTTCTTGACACTAGTTTACATGTGTTACATCCAATGACTTTTACCTATACTTACAATTAGTACAGACTCTGGACCAAGTTTCATTATTCAGAGGTATATCATTAAGAGGTATATTATTATTACACTCAAGTGTTTTAGATTAAATCTTAATATTTTGGACCAAGGATTATTCACTTGGCGTATGCCTAATTATTAATGAAATACCTTGTTCCACCATTTTCAACGTTCAATGTCAGGGACGGATTTAACGTTTTTCCGGCTCCGGGCTAAAAAAATTCTGCTACCTTTTGAATTTAAGTAGTGTTAATGCTATTAGTAATAAAAAAGGTTCTTTCGTTTTATTGGGAAAGTTAGTTTTTCGAATTACTTTTTTTAAATTTAAAATAAGCTTACCTCAGCTAAATCCTCAGATAATTAAAAATGTCTACGGCAATTACTTTTCTTTAGTTTTGTTGCACTGCTTGTTTCGAACAAATAGTTTCTATACTTTTTTTGTGTGGCACGAAGACTTCTAGAGTTATTTTAAATTTATTTTATGTGGCATTTGCCAGACAAGGTCATTTTAAACGAAAACAATTATTACCTACTCGAAAATTTTGCATTTCGAATAAAATCTTAGAAATTTTCAGTTAATGTCTTTATCGAATCTCTAAAACACTTGATATTCTGGAATTCTTATCTTCAGCATCTTCGCCGCTTTTTGTAAACAGATTCAATCAATTCTTGCCTTTAGATATATTATTAGCCCTTTAGATATATCTATCGCCATTAAACATCTTTAGAAATTTTTCATTAAAAGTGACATTTTCTAAAAACATCCTGTATGTTTGAAACTAGTTACTTTAGGCTTTCTGATGTAAAATAATTCAGACAACAACTCTCTACGGTAAGTACGCATAGTTAGAAAAGATCCTGTAGCTTTTATGTAATAAAATAAAAATGAATATCTAACCTTTTTTTAGTTGCTCAAAAAGCAAATAAATAATAATTATACATAGCTTATCTTCCGTGTACCTATATAGTGCAGTGTCTTCTGTGTATAAAGTCATACAATACCGTAGTCGAATGCATTCTTCTATCGCAAGGAGTATAAATTATCCAGACATTAATTTACAGGGTTAAATAAGTATGCAACTGGGCATTTTCGCATTAAGCATTTTAATGCTGTATTGCTAAAACGATAAAATTGGCATCAGAAGAATTTAAATAAGACAAAAATATAAAGTATTTATACAAATAGCTTTCATTTTGCAGTTTATTACTAGTTGTTGATATGGAGAATGTACTGATGTAAATTTTGCATTTTGGCTAGTTTTTTTCTACTGCACAGTTAGTTTGATTCATAATTGTATTTCAAAGAAACAAGATCTGTTCCTTTTTATTAAAAAAGTGTAATTTTCTAGTTATTATTATTATTTTTATTTTAAAATAAGCTCACTAAAAAAAAAAATAAATAGAAAATAAAGCTAAATAAAACTGTTCGTCTTCCTACAAACCATTTATAGAAATTTTGTTGCGAATGTAATTTAAAATACTATACAATGCAATTAGGTAGAAACTGAATTTTCTGAAAGTCAAGGAGGGGCAGATTTCTACGCTATTTTCTGGGCATTTAATGATGAAATTTTTAAACTGTTTCGTGAAATGAATAGTTTTATAATTATTTTCGATTTTTTATCCGTTTATTTTAGGCTGAAAAAATAACTGAAAAATGATTAGTTTTTGAATATATATGAGAATAATTTTTCTCTTTAAAAATAATTGTGAATTGAATTGTGAACGAATTTCCAAAATACTCAGTTACGTTAAAATTCTGAGGTTTCTAAAGACGGTGTCTCCCATACTCAAATTAAATGAATCTTCACTTTTACCCATTTAAGTCGACAGCCTAAGTTTCATTGATCTATGTCAAACATCTTCCTCATATTCACGCACTTCTATGATTCGATTAACCTGAAGAAAAATTACAAATTCTTAGCTTCGCTCTGTGATGTAACGCACTGTATTTATGTATACTATAAAAGTACAAACTAAATATCACGTATGTTGTCTTTTGCTTACTGTTTTATATATTATACTTATGTAAACGAAAAAAGCCTCCGAGTTTTCTTCCTATTGACAGGACAGTTCCGCTTCAATATTTTTTTATGGGTATAATCGATTATTTTCCGCCACAGACAGGTGTTTGCCTTCTGATGATTAGTTTTCGTTGCATTAAAATATCGACACTACAGGTGCCTGTTGAAGTGAAAAGTGCAATTTATTTATTCCACATTTTTAGGCGAGGGTCGAATTTTTTTTGGTGGTAAAAAATTGTCTGAAAATACAGGTGCCTCCAAGGTAATATTTGGGTAGAGCTGACTTAATATAATAGCTTCGTATTTTTGCGGCGAACGTAATAGAAATGTGTAAATAATTTTTTATAACCATTTAAGTTTATCGTAATGTATTTTCCATTTTATAATCAATAGTGTTGTATAAATGATTACATTTGACACACACTAAAGGAGTAAAGCCAACTAAAATATTATTAGTTTTAACAATGTTGTCATTTTATTGGTCATTAATTCAACTGGAAGTACATCTTACTCTTCCCCAATGGCTATAATGGTATAATAAATAGTTATTTGCGACATGGGTTTTACTGGGGACCAATAACAATACATTATCATTATCTTTTTATTCGATTGCAAGAAATGTAATTGAAATTTCAAAGTATTGTAAGGCTTATCCATAGTGACATATCGCGATTCTACAAAGGAAATTGTTCAAAGCTCACTCATTTGATCAACGAACGCTACTGACTTTAACGGCTCGTATTATTTTTTTTTAAATTCATATTTAGAGTTATAGTTACGATCATAATGGCATAAAAATGATAAAAAAAATTTGGTTGCTTTATGATCTTCTGTCGTATTCTTCTAGGAACTTATTTTATCCCTTGTGATCTTCATCTTAGGGTCGCACATTGCCTGGGTGAATGGGGCGCTAGAACTAAGGTTTAGGTCGAGAGTAATGCTTTAAATTTTTTTAACAGTGTTTTGAATTATTAAAAAATGATTTTATAGATAAAATATGTACTTATAACAAATGGGTTTTGGAATATTGATCTGCAGAGG